GTTTCCTGACCAGCACAGAGCTGGGCACATAGTAGGCACTGGATAAACATCTGTTGAATGATTGGGGAATGACTATTGTATCTCCAGCAGCTCTGATTGACTTCTCGGCTTCTCTGTTCCACTGTTCGCTCTCAATTCAGGACTGGTCAGGGAAAATTATTTTAGATCAATGAGAATTAACACAGGCGACCCTTGGCACAATTGTGAAACCTGCAAAGTTTCTAATAGTGGCCCTTGCTTTTCTTTCAGTGCATATTTAATACTTTCTAGTGTATGAAGCATTAGGCCACTCTAGGGCCTGGGTGTTTCTACTGTGTCCTATGTCCACATTTCCTCCAGCCCCCAAAACCTACTCTGCGAAAGGAATAATACTGCTCGTTTACACTTGCGTGTACGTCTCTGTTTTCTCTCCTAGGAAGACGTGCATTTTTACATCTTGTTTCTCATTGGGGGAATAAGGTTTGGTCCCCTGTGAAAACATTGCAGGTGTCAGGAAGGCAGGGTGTGGTGTCTGGGGTCAGGAGAACTCGTGTTCCTGAAATCAGACCAGGAAGGCGGCTGCCTTCCTCGCCTTTTCCCCACGTGGGCCCTGGGTGGGGACACTGGGTCAGTGAAAGAGTCTCGCTAGAAACCAGTTTGCTTCTCTTTTCTTTCCTCTGCTCTCAGAGCACAGACTGCAGTCCTGACTCAGCAATCCCAGCGTGTGTAAGCATCCTAATCGCAGGCAAGAGGGAGTGTGGGTGGCCAGTCCACACCTAGCGTTGAGCAGCTGGCACTGGCACCCTCCCATTCCAGTGGCTCTCAAAAGACTTGTGAATTGGGCCAAGGTCCAACAACAATGATTCTTTCATCTTTGTTCTTTAATTTCTGTTTTAATTAACTGTATTGAGATATAACTTACGTGCTATAAAACACACACATTTCAAGTATAAAGTTCAATGAGTTTTGTAACTAACACCCAATCAAGATGCGGAACATTCCATCACCCCAGAAACTTCCTTTGTGATTTACTGCAGTCAGTTCTCCCTCACCCTCAGCCCGGGACAGCACAACTCTGTTTTCTGACTCTGTAAATGAGTTTTGCTTGTTCTGGAACCCTGTATAAACGGAACCATACGACATGTCCTCTTTGAGCTCTAGCTTGTTTCCCTCAACATAGTGGGTTTTGAGATTCATCCATGTTGCAGCTTATCTCTTTTTATTGCGGAGTAGTGTTCCGTTGTGTGGATATACCACAATTTATCCATCTGCTGGTGGTCATCTGTGTTGTTGATTTTCTTTTTAATTTTTAAAATAAATCAGCAGCTCTTGAGCTTCATTAAGTAGCAGAAGCTGATGCAGGCCTAGTAACACTGGGTGACCTCACCGTCATGCACAGCTGGCAGGAAAAATAAAGCTAACAGGTAGAATTTTTTTAACACGTGTCTCCTATACATTTTCTGTAGCCCCACCTCCCCTTCCCATTGTCTCTGCGGGTGGGTTCAGGAGATGACAGAACAGACATATGATAGCGACTCTGGAACAGCCACCGAAGCTCATAGCTACTTGCTATGGGTTAGTTTGTTTGTTTCAGAAACTTGGGTTTGTGTCTATGATTTTTATATCAGGCGTTAACATGGTTACGCAGTTTTTAGCTGGAATGAGGTTGCTCAAGGGTTATTTTTGATGATCTGCCAGGCGGCCCACCAACCAAACTAATTTGGAACCCACTAGTTGATAGAAAATCAAGCTCAGGGGAGACCACCAAGAGTGGCCCACACTTGCCTGGGACGCCAGTCCTGCTCTTCCTGTCTGATAAAGCACTGTGAGCCACTTAACTGTCACTTCAGACAGCATCAGAATCTGGTATAACTGCATCGGGGCCTCTCTGAACACACGTTTAAATACTCCAATCCAATTACATGCACTCTGCTACCAAAATAAAACCAAACTCTGCATTTCTTGAACAGCCTGGTCCCCAAATGTGAGTCGGCCACTTTATCTGGTGAAGAAACAGCCAGTTCCGTGTTCCTGGAGATGAAAGTGTCTGAGTACGACCTAGGAAGAGACTGTACCATATTTGCTAAATTGCGTGTTTTGTACTTTGTGGAAGATTTAAAGCATTTTTAAGGGTAACATCGACAATGCAGGAGTTTCACATTATGTGCTGACTTGGTGTAAGATGCTACTCTACATACAGCCCTTTGGTTTACAAATGTGCTTACACTTCTGTTATTTCATTTGACCCTCACACCCACTCTAGGGGCAAACAGGCCCCTCTCAGTGTCCCACGTTGTAATGGGGGTGCCGAAACAGAGCTAATGAGAGCACCAGGACCCCGATGAGGGCGAGGAGAGTCGTGGCAAGTGCAGGGTGGGATCCTGTCTTTATTTAAAAGGTTGGTGTTTTGTTCATTATAGAATTTTTGCCTTAACTTTGATTTTTAAAGATGTTGCATTAAAATATTATTTATCTCGGTTACTGACTCTTTTGCACTCCAGGCTAGTGACTCACTTGCCTCATTCTAACCCTGTCCCTGGGTGTCAGGCCCTGCAGGGTGAATGGATTAGCTTGAATCCATCCATTGTATGTGGAAAAGGGATGAAGACCAGTCATTTCATATGGTTCAACCCAGTGGATTCTCCCAGGATGGAGTCAAGAGGGCTCACACGGATCTCTGCGCTGCCTGTGAAGGCCTCGTTATTCCGCTACACATTGCAGCCACCCCTGGGACTGTCATTAAAACCAGAGCCTCAAGGTGCGGGTGGGGACCTGGCATGTGTGTTTTCAAAAAGCTCTTCTAGTGTGAACTTCTGGATTAGAGCGCCTGGACTGAAGCAGAATTAAGCCAGGCTATAGAGGCAGGGAGTTCTGGATTCAAATTCTGATGCCAGCACTTTCTAACCACACAATCTGAGGCAAGTTACGTTATTGTGAGTGTTGAGTAATGCATGTAAATGTCTAGTACAGTGTCTGGCATAAATAAATCCTGGATAAGAGTTAATGCTTCTATGAACTATTACTTTGTGCTGAGGTTCAGAGAAGTTAAGTAAGTTGACTAAGGTCACACAGCAAGTTAATGAAAGGGTTGACTTTGGGACCCAAGTCTGTGTGGCCCCATAGCCAGAACTGAAATGACTACATTTGACATCCACTAAATGCTCCCTCCAAGAACAGGGGCCCTCAGCAATCAGCCCACACCATTTTCTAATGAGCCACCTTCCCACCTCCATGAGGATGACAGCAGGGTGGGGCAGGAGGCACTGCTGGCCCAAGTGAGGGTTCCTTTGCCTGGCGGATTCCCTCCTGAGGGGTGGTGGGATGGGGAACCCCCCTGCTGCCTTGATCATCTGGCCCTGTGCACCCCCAAACTTCTGGCTGGAGCTGCCAGCTGCCTGCACTTCCTCACTTCCAAGTCTCTCTTTCAATCTCTTCTGTCCCGGCTTCTGCTCTTAGTCCTCTGCCCAAACGGGTGACACCCTGAATGTTGAAACTACGGGCTCCATGAGCGACCTCTGCCTTGCAGGGCACTGCGAGGGGCTCACTTTCCTGAGTTTCATTCCCCTTTCACTTTCTGCCACGCCACAGGCCAAAGAACATGACCTAACCCGGCTGGCCTCATCTCCTGCCACCTCCCCTCCTCAGCTCTTCTGTTCCAAACAGACCAAGCATCTTACGGCCCCCCTGCCCCGAGCTGTCCGGCTCTATGAGGCCGTACCTGTCCTCCTTCCCACCTGGGGCCCTGCCTTATCTTGATCCGCCATCAACCCAGTCATCCCTTTAAACCAGCTGTGTACCGCCTTGATTCCGATAATGAAGCTCTTCCCGGCATGGCCTGCCTCCAGGCCACTTCTGTCCTCTCAGGTGCAGGACCGTGGCTGCACTTCCAGAAGTTGTCTGGGATTTAGTTGTATCCGCACCCATCTTGCGCACTAGGCTGTGAACGTCCTTAAGGCAATGGCTACGTCTTCACCTCCCTGGCAGCCAGCAGGTTCACTGTGTCTCTAGTGACAACAGTAACAACCTGGCCATGGTGTTTAATAAGTACCAGCAGGCTCCTAGCCACCTCACACAATTCCATTCATTTAATACAACAGTTATTAACATCTTTCCCATCTTGCAAATAGGAAAGTGAAGTGCTCAAGGCCCAAGTGACTTGCGCACGGCCACACAGCTCCTATGTGGAACAGGTGGCATTTGAAGCCAGGCATTCTAGCTCTTACTGTCTGCGTCTTACCCACTATGCTACTCTGCAGCCCTGGTGGGGACGCCTGACACGAGGGAGAGAGGGAAGCGGTGCCTCCCCGCAAGGAGCTCAGATCTCACTGGGGCTGGGGCACACACACATGCTTGTACACACACACACACACACACACACACACACACACATGCACAATGTGGGAAAACTACAAGGGAAGATACCATTAAGTGCTAAAAATGTGTGCTATAGAGCTGTGCTTCTCAAGCTTTAATGTGTTTATAGATCACCTGGGGATCTAGTTAAACTGTAGATTTGGATCCAGTCTGATGGGGCGGGACCTGAGACTGAATTTCTAACAAGTTCCCCGTGATGCTGATGCTGCCGGTCTGGGACCACACTTAGAGTAGCAAGGACGAACTCCAAGGGTGTAAGCAGGCGGGAGGAGGAAGATCTCGGTGGGCAGAGAGATCCTGGGACTGCGAGCTGGGTCTGGGACGATGGCAGGGCTTGGATAGGCAGAGGGCAGGGAGACAAACATGCTCCCCAGAGTCATCCGCTCTTGGCTCTCAGGGCCCTGGGAGCAAGCGGGGTGGTTTCAGGAACCCATAACTTGTGCCCCTAAGCTGCCCCGGCCCCCCTTAACAAGCAGCTGCACTAAGCAGGAGCTCCACATGTGAATAGCCCGTTTTTGAGAAAGGTCCAATCCTGACGTGTCAGGAAACATTTTGCAAATTCAGAAATGACAGCCAAAGGGAAGTGCTGTGAGGTCCACAACTAGTTGTAGTGGTTCCGTGGGCAGGATCCTGAGGGGAGTGTTTCTGCTGACTCCAGGACTTGGGCCATCTATAAAGCTTGGCAATGGAAAATAAGGAAATTCTCAAGGAGGAAGAGTTGTTGAGCCGTGCCCAAGGACCAGCAGCTTTTCACCAAACTGCGATGGAGAGCTTCGATATCAGTGGTAAGGTACTAGTCCCCAAATAATAGAATTGCCCAGGGATGCGGTCCTTCTGCTGGTGAGATATAAGAATAGAAAAGGCAGTAGAAAGTCTAGCTTTGCTCTATTGCTGCATTTTGCACCAAACCCTCGCTAGGATGTCTCTGGAATGCTTCCATTTGGAATTTCTGGAATGCTAATAATAGATACTGTATTTTTAGCATATCTTTAGCGCCACAATTCCTTTAAATCATATTTAAATAGTTTCCCTTGGATGAATGCCAATGCTTATTAAACGCTCCCTTTTTTTAAAAAATAAGTGTCCTTCTGACACACACGTTGTGTGATGAAATGAGAATACAAAACAGGGGCATTGAAAAAGCACCACAAAACTGAAGCCAAGTGCCACATATTTTTTTAACACAACTTTTTTGAAACTCTTTAAGGGACTTCTGCTGTCACCAATGTGCTGATCGGGGAACACTTGCCCCATCTCATTTCGGCTAGGATATGTTCATAGCTTCATAATTGGTTTGTCTTAGATTAAACTCAGGCTTTTAAAATTCAGTCAACTTTGTTGTCTTTAATTTCTTGCTCAGTGTTACACAAATGATGCATTTTTTTAAATCTTCTAGAATTTGTAGCAAAGTCATGGGTGGACTTGTCTTCCACAGGCAATCTTTGTATTTGTTTGTTTGTTTTTCTTTTGAGACGGAGTCTCGCTCTGTCACCCCAGTCAGAGTGCAGTGGCATCATCATAGCTCAGTGCAACCTCAAACTCTTGGCTCAAGAGATCCTCCTGCCTTGGCCTCCCGAGTAGCTGGGGCTACAGGTGTGTGTCACCATGCCTGGCTAATTTTTTCTATTTTTTGTAGAGACAGGGGTCTTGCTCTTGCTCAGGCTGGTCTCGAACTCCTGAGCTCTAGAGATCCTCCTGCCTCGGCCATAGGCAGAGTGCTAGAATTACAGGCATGAGCCACCGTGCCCAGCCTTTGACAGGCCATCTTTGATTCCTTATTCTAGAACATTCTCTTGGAATCATCTTACAAGATGGTTTGTCATTCCCATTCCCAGGCTTTTCTGGAAGTTGCCTATGTAGGAACAACGGCAGCTCTGTCCCCTGCCCTGAGTGTCCCTGTCATCCAGCATCTGTCTGTGCAGGTCCCTGGCTGGAATTTATGGGGGTACAAAGATGAAGTGTCTGGGGCTCTGCCTCTAGGAATTTACAGTGTAGTAACAGAGAAAGGCACGTGTACAAATGACTATAATAATCATTGCCTATTCAGAACTTCTAGGAATGCAGCATTCTGGATACATGACTTTTTCAGATACTGAAAATGTTGAAACAAAGTCAGCTGATCAGGCACCTACCACCTGCTGGCCACTGCGCCCGGCACCGAGGAAACTGACATAACTAAACACAGCCTCTGGCCTCGAGGAGCCCACACTCCTGGTGGTGGCAGGAGGATGCCAGTGTGAGCCTGCCCATAAACTGACTGTTTCTATACATTCATCCCCTGTCGTGACTGAGATTTCCTCAGGACATGATGGAAGGCTCTAACCTGGTGTGGGGCCCTGGGGGTCAGAGCTGACACCTCTTCTAAAGTTTAAAGGAGAAAGGGGGTTCGTTAGAGAAAGGAGATAGTGCCTGAGGCTGGGGAAGGTGCCACATGTTTATATGGTATTCATGAAAAATATTCTGAGAAAGACAAAAGGCTCCATACTGGTGGGCCAAAGCTGGGAAGGGAAGTCAGTGGGGATTGGGGCTGGAAAGAAACTGGACTCCACCCTGAGGGCCGTGGGGAACCTGGAAGGGGCTGCCGCGGGGCTGAGGGACACTGGTGTGCAGGCGAGGTCACTCGCTGTCCCAGATGCAGGGGCGCTGGAGAGGGTGGCTGAGGCAGAGAGTAGCCTGGCAGCAAGAGGTGATGAGGGGCAGTGGTTGGAAGGCAGGAAAAGTGGGAACGCTCTGGAAAAACCCTAGACGTTAGACCAAGAGGACTGTGATGACGGGATGGGGCAGGGCAGGGAGGTGCAAGAGTCACAGGCAACTCCAGATTTCTGGCTTGGGCTGTGGATGCCACGAACTGAAAATCTAACCAGCAAAACAAAATAACTCCAATATGGATGGGACGTTTTCCTAAATGCATTCACAATGTCCTGCCTTTTCGTACAAAGATCACAGAACATACGGAACTTTCTGGAGGAGTGCCATGATGAAGGGTCGTCCCTGTGAGGCTCTGTGACCTGGTGACCCCTCAGGGGCTCACTGTCATGCATGTGACTTGCTTCGGCACTGAATGGCTCCAGGCATCTGCATTCCTTTTTTGTCTGTCTGCAGAAAATTTATTTATTTGTTTGGGCCACATATGCTTTCGTTCTCTTTTGAAAAAACACCACCTTAAACTTTCCACATATGGTTCACCAAAAACACTGCTGAATAACATTCGTAATGTGATTTTTCTCATTTATTTTTCTCTATTGTTGCTAGTATTGAAATATAAAAGCTGCCTTTCCCTGATGATAAAATATTAAAGCTATTTTTTTCAATTATCCAAGGGTACCAGATTAGGAATGTTTTAACCATATACTGCAGAAATTTTTTGAAGTGAGCTTAAGAAACTTTTGGAATATAACCATTTTTTCCTATAATCAATCTAAAAAATGGTGATGAGTTTAAATTTCACAAGACATTCTACTAAATATACGTTGCCTCCTTCGCTCTGATGACTGTTCCCTCACACCTTACCTCATGCGGCTTCACTTGCTACTGGCAAGCCACCCTTATCCCCTTATCTGTGCTGGAATCAAGGCATGCTTTCTTTTCTTCCTTTTTCCCCTCAGCCTTTTAGAGGTTTGATTAGCAAATAAAATTGTATATCTTTGCAGTATACATGCTATGATTTAATATACATATACTTTGTGAAATGATCACCACAAGGATTGCTTTATTTTCCTAAAGGGACTCAACATACCATTGGCTCTTGTTTCACTCAGCGTCCAGCAAAATCCCAGGTCTTTCCTCAAGAGCTGGTGTTCCTAATCTTCCACCTCAACTGTGGAGCCTTTGAGCTTGAACGAGAGAATTGACATTTGTCCTATGGACAATATCTTTCTGGGATGTGCTTCTTTCTACCTTTTTGCAAACCAGCAACATTCGTCTGGCTTGAGACATCCGGGCACATTTGTAGCGTGTCTGGTTTCTCAAGGAGGACTTCCGTTACCACGGGGGCCCGCGCTCCTTAGTCCGCGGAATGGAATCTGTCCGGACCCTCTTATCCCAGCTTCGCAGTTATTTCAGGCTTTGCATCTTTCTTCATGGTATTTCTTCCCCACCAATTTCAGTCTGAAGGTGACCCCAAACAAAATACAACTAGAAAAGTTAAAGTTTTTGTTGCTGTTTGTTTTAATTAACAGCAACCATTGGCCCTTGGTGGTGAGCCTGACTGTCTGTCCCACCTTCCTGCTGTAAAGGTAATCAGAAGACACGTGTAACAGCCCTTGACCCTCAGGTCCACGCGCATTCAGCCTTGCTGACCTGCCTGCTATCACGTCACGTGGGTGTTCTGACTTGTTCTTTGTCATGCCAATATTTCTCAACATTTTTAAACATCTGGCTTTACCGTAGAGTTTTTTGTTTTTGTTTTTTCACATAGATTCACAGAAAGTTGCAAAATATGTACAGAAACGTCTTTCTGACCTTTTGCCACTTTCCCCAGTGGTAACATTTTGCACAGCTAGTACAATACCACAACTGGGAAACTGACATTGGTGCCTACTTGTAGTTTCCACCCACTCACTTGAGTTTATGACTATAGTTCTATGCTAAATAGCACCACAGACCCTTCACCCCTGCCCAGCGATCACTCATCCCAGGCAACCACCAATCAGCTCCCCATCTCTGTCACTGTGCTCTTTCAGGAATGTTATATGAAGGACTTTCACACTATGTAACTTTTTTTCACACAGCATAGTATGATTCCCTTGAGGCCCATCCAAGTTGTGTATATCCACAGCTGATCTTTCTTATTGATGAGTGCCATTCCATACTATGAATATGCCACCGATTGTTTTTATCCATTCACCCATTGAAGGACATTTGTGTTGTTTTCAGTTTTGGGGTGATTACAAATAAAGCTGCTATGACCGTTTATGCAAAAGTTTTTTACAAGTTTTCATTTCTCCGGGATAAACGCCCAAAAGTGCAATTGCTGGATTCTGAGTGTGTGTTTGGTTTTACAAGAAGCAGCCGATGTATTTTCCTGTGTGACTGTACCATTTTACATTTCTGCCAGCAATGTATAACTGATCCAGTTTCTCCACAATCTTGCCAGCAGTTGGCATTATCACTATTTTTAATTTTAGCCATTCTCATAGGTGTGTAGTGATAGCTCACTGTGGATTTAACTTGCATTTTCCTAATGGCTAATAATGTTGAATATCTTTTCCTGTGCTTTTTTGCCACTTGTATACCGTCTTCCTTGAAATAGCTGATCATTTGGTTTTTCACTGTTTAGTTTTGAGAGTTCTTTGTATGTTCTAGGTACAAGTCCTTTGCCAGACAGGTGATTTGCAAATATTCTCTCCCAATCTGTGATTTGTGTTTTTATATTTACAACACAGTTTTTTGCAGAGCAGAAATTTTTAACTCTGATGAGGTCCACCTTAATTTTTCCTTTTATGGATTATGCTTTGGTGTCAAGTCTAAGAACTCTTCACTGAGCCCTAAGTACTGAAGATTTTATCCTATGTCTCACTCTAAAATTTTTATAGTTTTACATTTTACAATTAAGTCCATGATCCATTTTAAATTGATTTTCATATAAGGTATAAGCCAAAGTTTTTGTTTTGTTTTGTTGCCCATGGATGTCCAGTTGCTCCAACACCATTTGTTGAAAAGGCTATTCTTCTTTCATTGAATTACTTTTACACCTTTGTCAAAAATCAGTTGGGAAAATCAGTATGGGTCTATTTCTGTGCTCTCTATTCTGTCCCATTGATCTATGCAACTGTCCCTCTACCAA